CTTCACAATTTTAGTGAAGTCTTTATATGAATATACAAATATGTTACCTTTTCAAAAAAAAAATTATATATAAGTGACTAAGCTGTACGAACACAGTTTTCAAAACTTGTACCAATAGTTATGTAGATTGTACCGGAAGCTTGGCTCTCTCTAATTGGTCATTCAATCTGTTTTGCCCTTTACTGTAAACGCGTATCACTTCTTCTCTAGCATCCCCTTTCTTGATTTTTCATAATTTGCCAAACCCTTTTTCTTCTCAAGTTATCCTTTTCAGAAGCTCTTTCAGTGGGTCTGCATTCCTCTTCATTCTAAGGTACCTAAAAAATTTTAGATTGTTACTTTCTTCTTCTGCTTCCTTCTTCTCTTGATATATATTTCTTTCTTTTTTATGTTTTCAGAAGGCATTCTTTCTAGATTCTATTTACATAGTGGTTATGAGGTACTCTTTTCCCTTTTTTGAGGTTAAAATTAAACTTTTGCTCTCTGTTTTCTCCTATGTTTTGGTAGTTTTTTGCTCAATTTTTTACATGCTTATCACGTCAGTAATTTTGTCTGAACTCCTGTATGTTTGGAAATAACTAGGTGGATCTTTTTAGTGATTGATGAATACAAATCTGAATTTTTTGGGTAGTAAAACTTAATGTAAAAGTAATGGCTACTTCAAGAACTCCATGAGATTCTGATTCATGCAGAGCATTAACTTCAAGCTCAGCAAGTGATTCAATTCAAAAATTTGTCAAGATGCCAATGTTTATGTGGCCCATGAGGTTTTTTTTTGGTTCAATTAGGTATTCCCAAATAAAAAGGTAAGGTTTTCCTGATGGAGATTTTGAGCACTTTATGGACATACTATTGAATGTGTTGCAACTCTGTGTGTTATGGGGAATATATCTTCCATAATTATATGAGATAACATACTGATGGTCTATACATGTTTTTTTGGTCATTTGCATATTCTGCAAAACACTGAACAAAAATGTGAGTTCCCTAAGTCAATGACTTAATTCACCTCATACATTTATTGTTGTTGAAGGGTATTTAAAACTTTATTTTGTACTTCATTGTCATTTAGGTTCAACAAACATACATTCACTGTGTGGGGATTTACACCGGGAAGTACGACCGCTCAAAATCATCTTCTTTGATGATGATGTAAGTTTGTTAAATCTTTGTACTCAGATGTTGCTGTTGATATCTGCAGTTAAAGTGTTTTCTGTATAATTCATCATTTTCAGTTAAAGTCACGTCATTATATAATTATGGTTTTGAAATTTACTTGAAACTTGATTTTTGCTCCTCATTGTCAAGTAGTACAGCATACATGCATTCACAGTGGGGTTTATACAAGGAAATACGACTGTTCAACATGCATCTTCTCTGATGATGATGTAAGTCTCTTTAAATCTTTCTATAGTGTTCCTGGCTCATTATGTTTTATACTCTTAAGCAAAATAATTTCTACCTTAGGTTTAAAGAATCATTATCACTGTGATAAATGTAGAATATGTAGTTAAATAAATGTAGAATATGTAGTTAAAGTCTTTTCCCTTTTGTTGTTCATTTTGGTTCTTCAATTTTTCAAAAACTTCCAATTCATACGAACAAATGGTTGATGGTATCTTAGACATTGGCCTGGTCTCTTCACATTTCGAAAAGATATATTCTAAGGAGCATGAAGTTTCATTACTGGGAAAACACTTGCATTTTTGGTACCAACTTTTCCTTGTAATCTCTGCATGTTTATTCAGTAAAATTGTCATACCTTCATTGTGGGGTTAGTTAACCTACTATGCAACTTTTCATATACCTTTTTAAACAGCTTCTCTTACGTATCTCATTTCGTCAACCAAAATACTTTTAGAAAAAGAAAAAAAAAAGAGAAGGAAGAGGTGAAGAAGATTCTGTTTCATTTCTCATGAAACATGTTTAGAATTCAAAATACTAAAATGAGGAGGGGAGCTGTAGTTCATATAAGCACATATATGGAAACTCTCATTTTATTTTATTATGATGTGTAAACAGGAAGAAACTCAAAGGAATGAAGTAAAAATATATGAATCTCCTGATTGTTGCAGAGTATCTTCATCAAGCCAAGCTTTTGGTGGGCGTAAGAGATCACATGTTATTGTTGCAACTCTTTGCAGCAAGTGTGTGTCTTTCATTTGCTGCTGCTTCAGCAGAACCAGTATTATCAACAACTGATGGGAATATGATAAATCTTGACATTTCTGCTCCATTGGAAGAATGAAATTAGTCTGATTGAGCTTTCTGCAGTTTCTGATACTGAGTTTGTCAACCCTATCAAGCATTGAAATGAAATTATTCTTACAGTTGAAAGACCTCATGAATTAGAGGTAAAGTTATGTTCTTTTCCTCTTTCAACTTTTAGGTTGGATCCAAGGTAATTTGATTAGTAAGTTTTCGTGATAAACTGTGGCATCATTTGTAGTTTTACCTATTAAACAGATTGACTGTATTTTGTTTGGCATCATTTGTAGTTTTACCTACTAAATAGATTGACTGTAATTTGTTCGCCTCAAAGTCTATCCTGTTAATGTGAGAGATAATTTTACCACATCAACCAGTAGGAAAGACCACAAGATTTCACTTCAGTTTTTTAAGGTCATACTCGTAATCCAAATTGTTTACTAGGTTACCTGCAATGCAGATTAAAAAAAGGGCATGTCTTTAATGAGTGGTATACTATTGCTAATAGCCTACTAATGCTCCACCTATTGAATTTAAGCCCAATTTCCTTTTTTCTTCACTGTTGTTAGCATTCCTAGCCAAATACAGGTGAATATGCATGGGAATGCAAATGTGTGATCTGTGAGGATTATGAGTTGAGAAAAATAGAATTTTTTATTTCTTTGTGCTCAATTAGGAGTTAGAATGAAATTTTAAACAAATATATGTACTCCCTTAGTCCGAGCAACCAGTTTACTGTTTTGTGGGTGGGGGCTATGCCACTAAGTTACTGAAGATTATTTCACCTTTTACAAAGAAAATGTGTTGTATTTTTTAAATAAAGAAAATGCATACTTTTTCTATAATTTCGGAACTCCAAATTTCTGTTCAACTTTGTTTGGGAATGAGATTTATTTCATTTTCTTTCAGGTCGATTGACAAATATATATCAGCATATAGTTTTCTTAATCTGTTTATATGTTCTCAGAGTTGATACCAAATCATTCTACAGGAGGATCACTTGAAAATGATAATCGCAAGGTTTTACTATAGTCTAAACCACGTGTTGTGGTGGACAGAGAGTGATCAATACATTGCCAAGTCAAACAAGGTATGCAAACCCAACCTACAAGACAAGGCAACTTGACAGCAATAACTGTAGAGTTCAACTAATGCGGAACAAATGAGACAGATTTGCAACTACAAGAATCAAGGCAATAATTGAAGCTTTGGACTGGTCACTGGAGAGGAACCACTTTCATGTTCCTTTTTTTGCATGTATTGGGAAGAAAACGGACATTATAGTAACCCATGTTATATGGAATACATGTCTGCGTTCAATTCTATTGCGAATTTGTTTACTGCTTAAGCAAAACTGTTTTTATCCAAATAAAATAATTTTCAGATGAAATACCAATAAAACAAAGGTAATTGATAACTGATGTCCATGAACTCTAGGTTATTTATATGATACATGCCAGAGTTCAGGTAAATTGTAGTCTTTCTCCTCATCTTGTTTCTTCTAAATTACCTGTCAAGTTTCTAGATTATGAACTACACGCATCTTATCATTAGGAACTTTTATATTACCTATATATTATGCAACCTGTGTAATGTATCCTACTTTCTTGAGCTACTACTTTTTCCCTGATTGGTATATTCTTGAATTATAACTTGAAAATATACCAGCTTTTGTGTGTGTGTGTGTGTGTGTTAGTATCCAGCTTGATCATTATGACTTACTAGAAAACTAATTCAGACTTCAAACTGCCCCAATATCCAAAATCATGTTTGTTTGTAACAACAGAGAACATACAATTCTAATATGTAGGCTTTTCAATTAACGTCATGAAATTTTGTTGAATAGGTACCACTATTGTAAATTTATTTGATGGAATTTGATATGCAACTGACTTGGAACTGTTTATGGAAACTACTGATATAATTGATCATTGGTTTTTATATAAAGCAACAATTCAGTATATAATCAAGAACCTTTAGCATGTCCTTGTTTCATCATCTCCTACATTACTTTTAAAAATGTTCAAAAAGATTAGTTTCCATCAATGAGATGAAATAAGGTGTCTGATTTACTGGTTGAAGTTTCTCATTTATTATACAGGTATTTATAATGACCTAATTGGAGTGGTTGCCAAAACCAGTTATCTTCCCCTAAATCATAGGAAGATAGTGAAGTCCAACCACATTCCTCCCCTAAATCATAGGAAAGTCACTAGAAAGGTAGGTCCAGAAGTGTAGTATGGGCATGTCTAACCATATACCTTGACTATATACAAATAGAACTATTTGTGGTCAACAAACCTCAACCAAGTCCCAATAAAACAGAATAAATTTTGGAACCTTGTGATTAATAATTTGTGGCAGCAAATCCCTTTTTGTTTCAAGGTAAAACAAAACAAGGTAATAAGTCAAAGTAGACTAGCAGAATACAAGGTAAAATACTAGCCAACAACTAAGTTGAAACTTGAAACAACATTAATGAACCTGTGTATATTTCAACTGAGCAAATCAGAACATAATCTTGCTATGAATTCTATACTCAAGAATCAGTTTTTTCCTTTAAATTGGGGTTGTCAGAAATGTCTGTGGTGATGATGTTGATGTCTGTGTTCATCCAATCCAAAGCACTGCAAAACAGGGAAACATACTACAAAGAGACACCTCTTTAACACAGAGAAAGTAGAAGAAACTACAAAACAAGGGCAACAACAACATGCCAAGAATGGATCATCATATGGTCTATTTCCTTCATGTTGATGATGATGACGACCCATCTTCTTCTTTGACCTGATCAATATACAAAACCAATGATTACCCATTACTCAATTGGCAAAACAAAAGTTACCCCTTAACTAAAACTCTGCTATAATTGAGCAAAAAGATCAGATCTTTAACAAAAATATGAGTAATTTAGATAGATTACCCTGAGCTATGAACCTCCTGTTTCTTCTTCTTCTTCTTCTTAAGCTAAAAGAATAATGCAAGAGTAATTGTAAAAGGAGGGACGCAGAGGAGATTGGTTGGAAGGAGAATAGCTGTATCAGACCAGCAAAATTGGGAGGAATAAGACTCTTTGTAGTTGAACTAAAAAAAGAGTTATAAAGCGTGTGAATTTCGCGTTAGGTTGTCACAATTATAATTATTTGGCAAGTAGATAGCACTCCTACTAATATAAAATTTCATAAAATTAGGTATCCAGGCTTTTGCTACCGTTAGTATTCTACAAGTCTAATCCAATTGGACCAAAAATCAGACGTGGCATTAAGTGGCTGGTTCAGTTGATCTGGACAATAAGAATATAAAAAGGCATCATACGAAGTATCCCGTGTTTACACAAGGTCCCGGGAAGAGATGCTTTCACGGTTCGAACCGATGACCTATAAGGGGTCGTTTGGTATGAGGTATAAGAAGGTATATTGCTGGTATAAAAATTTAATACCACCTAAATACTTTGTTTGGTTAGCAAATTTGGTATAAGTTATCCCATAATTAAAATTAGTATCGGGATAACTTATACCTTGTAGAGGGTGGGGTAATTAGTGTCGGGATAACGTATACCTTCTTTTTAAAAATTATGCAATTGTCATTTTTAATACAATATATCAAACAACGAATAAAAAATAATATTATGATAACTAAGCATCACTTATTTCGGTTCAAACCTAACGGCTCTAGTTCAACGAAAACAACGTTTGTGTTGCTTTATAGAAAAGGGCATATTCTTTTCTGATTTTAAATTATTATACACGTTGGCTTGGGGGCAATGATTAGTTTCTTCTATAGTGGATTAGTGGTACAAGCTGGGAAGTGGGAATGCTATTTGGACTTTTGAGGCAAAGCCACTGCAAATAATATATTGAACATAACATGAGGATTGAAGACTTTGATTAAAAAACTGAAGCTTGACTTGTTAATCATGATTCATGAGCAGTTGATTTCTGTATATATAATTTTATTATTAGTTAACTATATCTGGATATTAAGCTGAAGTCAATAAATGCAGCTATCATATCAGATTACCACTTACCAGTATATGTCCTTGTCGATATCTATTATGCTTGAAAAGAAAGGTAAATAAACAACAACAACAAAATGGATCTCGAAATGTTTGGTAGTGATCTAGCTTCTCGGTGTTTAACTTGGAGAAAAAAAAGGAAAATTCAATGCCGTGCTTATGCTTTATGGATCTGTGGTTCACATAGTAGTTATGTGGCATTACGCATTTACGATAACTAATATTTATGAACGTGTGTTGCACATTAATAATGACACACAATGGTTTAGATATTTAATTATATGAGGGAACAATAAAATTAATTAATAAGAGAAATTTTATGTATGATAATACAATAATCATCTAAATACCGAAAAATATTATTACATTAGCATAATACATGAATTTAAAATAAAAAGTCATCATCAAAACTTATATAAATGATCAATTTTGTCATGTTAGTTAGATAATTATGTATTACTTCATCTGTTCCACTTGAAGTGATTTTTTGGTTGCTTTCACACGTATTAAGGAATCCAACTTTTAGCATTAATTAAAAATATAATTGACGATATTAACCTTAAAGTGGACCAGGGGAGTATAGTTTAAAAGTATTTAATATGATGGTATCTTACCGAACACTATTGTGTGTATGTTTTCTTCTAATGATTTGGCTGATCTGCCTTAATCAGAACTCTTGTTGATCTTGATATCTCTCTTGAAAGTGCAACATACAGTTGTTCATGCAAGAAAATACATTGCGATAAATATAGTCTAATATTTAGGATATTTGTCTTTGTGCGTTATTTATTATATTTGCAAAATACAAACATACTAAAAATTATTTTGACACAGATTTAAAAGGATATTCCTTAGTTTCGGAAGGCTAAAATTGAATTCAGGAATAAGAATATACTTAGAAGCACATTGACCAATATAATAATTTTTGCATGTATGATGTTGCTGTCAAAACTTCTATATACCATTTGTTTGTTATTACATAAGGTATTCGGTGTATCTAAATTTTTCAGTAGCATGAATGACATTTTTTTAAAAAAAAAACAACCTATATCCAATGGAAGATTAAAGTAAGGTAGAAGGTCATTTGATATTAAAGCATTTAAGTATTCTTCTTGGTAAAAATTATTGGTATCATTTTCTGCTGAGTCAAAAACTGAAAAATATTTTGTCTTTACTATAAAATTTTGCAATCAACCTTTTATTTAGTTGATCAACATATTCATTTTTTCTAGCTAAGATACCTTTTTAATTCTATTATGCAATTTGCACAAATTGCGTTTTAATCTAATGATAGAAATATTTCTCTTATTAAATGCACTACTATTATCATCGGGGTGGATAACCAGGTATTTAGCAAGAAACAAATCATCTTTTATTGGATGCTCTTCTTCGTTCCCGACACGAAGTAAGAAGACACTGAACTCTGGATCTGTTGTTGCTTTATATTTCTTGTTAGTTGAATCTTTCTCATTTGAGGCCAGAATTATAACTTTGGCAAGCTAGCTTTTATAGTCTCCGCTTTTGTCGATTTTGGAACTACTGGTAGTACTTAACAGAAATCACCTCCCAAACTATTTATTTGTCACCAAACGGTTCATTAATATCCAATATATCTCTAGAACTCCGGTCAATTATTTCGATCGTTTGACACTTAGCCATAAGTGCTTCATCCCATATTATTAATTTTGCTTTCNTCACAATAAAATCATTCATGGTACATCACTTGCTATTATTGCTAACAGTCATGCCTCTTAATATGATATTTGCAAGTAATGCATGACATAGAAATATTATTCTGATTCCGCCGGAGGCATCTACAAAGAATAATCCTGCTATACCAGAGTATACTCTTTATAATATAATCTTGAAAGCTTGTTCATGTTTAGGATTTCGCTTTGATTGTGCTTCCTCAGACACTTGTATAACATTTTGATTCTTAACAATATACTAACATTTTTACTTTGTGTTCTAATTTTTTTAATCTCTAACGCTCTTTTTATGGAATAAATTTGTGTATCCTAGGATTTTTTTAACTTGAATACGAATTTTACTTATATGATGAATTTAAAAAAAATTGAATTAGATTCTCTTGCTAAATAATTAATTAAAAGATCTAATTATTTGAGTTTAACATAAAAAATAATTTATTCTATGTTAATTCAGATCTTAATATTAGTTTATCTCTTGGTTTGAATAATTAATCTTAATTATAATTTTATCCACCAAATATTTTATTTTCAAAGAGTAAAAGATTGATATGACACTTCACTTTTAGATCATTATGTTTGTAGAATCATTAGTGATATTGACTATTACCAACCATTTTGTTTCTCTTTCTCACACATTTATATTCTTAAATATTTTTTATAACGACCCGACTGGTCGTTTTGAGTATTGTGGCTCATTTTTCCTATTTATTGCTTCCTCTATGTTGTATTATGGTTATGTGACTTGCCGATGTATTTGCTTTTGGTTTCGGGTGAGTTTCAAAGTCAAATGGGATACATAGTCCCTAAGTTGGAAGTATAAGTTGAAAGAGTTGACAGTAGTTTGACTTCTGGGTAGACGACTCCAGAATGGAGTTTTGACTATTCCAATAACTCCGTATGGTAATTTTGGTCTTACGAGTGTGTCCGGATGTTGATTTGGATTCCCGTAGGTCATTTCGGCTTGAATAAGCGAAAGTTATAAAATTAAAGGTTTGGAAGGTTGAGAAGTTTAACCGGGAGTTAAATTTATTGATATCGGGGTCGAACTTCGATTACTGAAGTTGGAATAGGCCTGTCATGTCATTTATGACTTGTGTACAAAATCTAAGGTTAATCAGAGTTGTTTTAGTATGATTCCACGTTAGTTTTGGAAGGCGGATGTTCATAGTTTCAATAGGCTTGAATTAGGTTGTGATTCGTAGAATCGATGTTGTTTGATGTGATTTTAGGCCTTGAGTAGGTCTGTTAGGTGTTTTGGAACTTTTTTGATATATTCGGACATGGTCCTGGGGGCCCCGGGTGTGATTTGGATTGAATTCGGAACCAATTTGGACTTAATCATTTTTGCTGAAGCTTAAGCTATTCTGGTGTCATCGCACCTGCGGTGGAAATAGCCTCAGGTGCGGACTCGCTGGTGCGAATGGAGAAATGCAGAAGCGTAAAGGGGCAGCCCAGGCCTAGGTTCGCAGGTGCGGACACCTGGGTGCAGATGCGCCTCAGCAGGCGCAAACGTTTCTTCCACAGAAGAGGCATTTGGGAAGGCCTTTTGTAGGACCATAGGTGCGGTCTAGTCTCCGCAGAAGCGGGCTCGCTGATACGAGCAATTGGTCCGCAGAAGCGGAATTTCGTGGCATAAGCTGGAACTGCACCTGTGATAGATTGTTCCGCAGGTGCGACGGTGAGCCCGCAGATGCGAAATCGCTGGGCAGAAAAGGGCTTAGGTCGAGAGTTTCATCTCATTTTTTATTTTTGGACCTAGAGAGCTCGGTTTGTGGTGATATTTCGAGAAGTTTTTAAGGAAATCATTGGGGTAAGTGATTCTAACTCATTTTTGGATATATTACATGAATTCATCGTTATTTTTGTCATTAAATTAGTGATTTGAGTTGAAAAAATGTGGGAAAATATTGTAAAACTCCTTAAACTAAAATTTGGAATTTTGAAAGGCGATTTGAAGTCGAATTTGAGTAATTCTTATATGGTTGGACTCGTTATTGAATAGATATTCGAATTTTGTAATTTTGGTCAGGTTTCGAGATGCAAGCCCGGGGTTGACTTTTTTAGTTGACTTTTTGTTTTTCTTTAAAGACTGCAACTTTATTGTTCGGAATAGCTTCCTATAATTTATATTTATGGTATGAAGTTATTTTGGCTAGATTCGAGCCGTTCGGAGTTAGATAATCGCGGAAAAGACTTACTAGTTGATTGAGTTAGCGTGCTTTGAGGTAAGTGTCTTGTCTTACTTTGCGTGGGAGAATTTTCCCTTAGGATTGGTATTGTTTCGTGTTAATTGTGATATATGGAAGCCGTGTATGCATGGTGACTAATATGTACACATGCTAAATGTGGTAATTAACTGGTTTTAGC